TCATTCATTCATTTATTTTTATTTTATTTTAGAAATACAAGTACTCGTAGAAAGATACAGCATGAGCGGAATACCGCTGACAGCCGATAACCCAGAAACTGAATATGACATCAAAGATGAAATTGATAGGTAGGTAACCGTACCATTTGATTCAACTAATATTAACAGTGTAGGGTTGTACGTTATTGTCAAAACTGAGGTTCTATTTCCCATCATTCTTGAKTTCTTAAAAGAAGGGTTAGTAGCAAACGTTCCCCTCCCGCATGGTAATATGACAGGGTCGGACTTAGGGGCGTTAAACGGTAAGCTTTTTATATGTCTCTTAATTTTGAGGTCGTAAAATTCATTTTCACAAAGAAGCGTTGGAAATTTAGGTCAATATTTACACCCATTTTCTCAATTACCAACTCAGCCCAAGTCGTCTGGGTTTTTGGCTTCCACAATGAATCAAAAAAACACGAATTCAAACGGTTGGGAATTTGATTGACTGGAGTCAAAAACCCAGACTTCTTGAATAGACCATTTTCGAGTTCAAAATTGCCACACAGTGTTCCTTGATTACAGACTCATTTACTAAGAGTTAGTCGGCACAAATTCGAGGCTAGCCCTGAGCAACAGAAAACTTGGAACTAGAGTATTAAAGGTAGTTGTCTGGGGCGCGTATTTATGAAAACAGATATAATTGTTACTCTTTGTTATTTCATTGTAGAGGAAAGTTTGCCGTCGTAAAGAAATGTGTCGACAAAGAAACTAAGAAGGCATTTGCTGCAAAACTKATAAAGTTCGATGAGGATGAAGAGAATGAGACTGTACAAGAGTTTGATGTCCATCGCTCCCTAAAACACAAGAATCTGGTTACGCTGTTCTCGGCTTACATTGTGCAGAAATACTTGGTGTTAGTTATGGATTTGTAAGTCTATATCGTTATTCAGTACTGATGCGCACTTAATGTTATATGAGAGAATCCTTTACTAAATGTGACCGCCTTCTTTGGCCCTGAACGACAAAAGCTCTTTGCATTTCTTCGTTTTGCTTTGTTTTTGTTTTGCTTTGTTTTGTTTTGTTTTGTTTTTTCTTTTTTTCTTTTTTCTTTCTTTTCCTATCTTTTCCTTTCCTTTCCTTTCCTTTCCTTTCCTTCCTTCCTTTCTTTTCTTCACTCCCTCACTGTTTTATGGAGCAACTTGAAGTCTGAGCATTAATTCTTACCATTTCTGTTATACCTATCTTCTATATCCTTTTATGTCTCTTTTCACAACTTCCCGCTTTCCCATTCTTTCATTTCTCATTTCTGTTTTGCTTGTTGTATTCTCCTAACACACTTATCTCATTAATGCAGGATTGATGGTGAAGATGCTTTGAGTTCCTTGGCATCCAAATCAGAAGTGACAGAGAATGACGTCACTAGCATAATCAAGCCAGTTCTGGATGCTTTGGATTACCTTCATAACAAGGACATACTGCATTTAGACGTAAGGGTAAGTATCAACCAGATTCCGGAACCGTAGCATATACTAAAAAGCCTATTTGAGACGAATATAGTATAGTATGTATATATATGTAAGTATCAATAAAACCACGTGTTTTTGTCCTCAAGCGTGAGCCTTAAATCCAGGGAAGGAAGAGCTAACCAGTTGTCTTCTTATGCCATTGCTGAATTGCATATTGGTCATAAAACTCTTACTCCATGTGCCCTGTGGAAAGGAAGCAATTACAACCGCCGTTTGGATGGAGGGAGAAAACAAATGAAAACAATTGCTGACAATTTCATATGCTGTCTCCTTCTGCGGCTTTCTTCTACCATCCTTTTTACCATCCTTTTTACCATCCCAAACTATACCAACCATGGCAAGTCAAATCTTGCTTAAAGAGAACCCAATACCAGTATCACAATTGTTTATAAGTTATTGCGATTTATATTGGCGACTACTTGGCAAAAAATATATTACTTATTGGCTAGAGTCTTTTAGGGTGTGTTTCTTGGTGGAAAAGCACAAGGAACTTTGGTTATGAGAACGCCAAGAATACGCTCATATAGACCCCTTGTGTGTGACGTCAATTTGGGGAACGAAACAATGAAAATGAAATATCAAGAGAAGAAAACTTTTTTTGACCCCAGGGAAGAGAATTACTGCAAGGCCTCTATCATACAGCTTTTCTCTCATTAAATACAATAATTAAAGTCTTGATCTGTATATCTTCACAGCCTGCAAACATCATGGTCAACCAAAGTACCGTCAAGTTGATTGATCTAGGCTGCGCACGCAGACTGACAAACAAGGAAGGAGAGGTCGGTGCAGTGGTTGGCAACACTGAGTTTTCAGGTATGATGGAGACAATCTTTCATCATGAGAAATGACAAACCTGTGCAATCTTATACTTTGTACCTAATGAGGTGTGCTTAATGAGGTTATTTTGAGGTGTGCTTTTTTTCCCCTCTTTCTCTCTTTTATACAACAGACTCATTCATATTTTTCAATCTTTTTTTATCTATTCAGCTCCGGAAATGTTATCGTTTGAACCTGTTAACTCTTCTTCGGACATGTGGAGTCTTGGCGTGACAACATACCTACTGTAAGTAATGACATAATAAAATGGGGGTGTGGGGGGGGGGGGGGGAGAGAATAAGAGGACAAATCGCGGGGCAAATGACATGACCTCCATGTTGGTTAATTAAAAAATAGAACAGTGGTCAAATATTTTGTTAAAATCAGTCTTTGACTTTGATCTTGAAAAACAGCTGAGCTGTTATGCTTTTTCAGTTTCGTCCTTTTTATTAAAAATCATCTTATGACAGATGTATAAACCAATTTTAAAATATCTTTACCACTAAATACCGTGACACAGGTTGAGTGCAGAGCTGCCATTTTCTGGAGATGACGACGACATGGTGGCAGAAGCTGTAAAGACTGGCACCATCATGATTAATGACGATTTGTTTCCCTCGACAACACGACAAGCTAAGGATTTCATGAAGAAACTGCTCAGCAAGATTCCAAGGTAATTTTAGGCAAAGCTCGACCTAAGGTTAAAAATATGAGGGGCAAAAAAGACCCCAGTTTCCTGTTGTTTGTTTTCGTTTTTTTTCTTTCTTTCTTGTTTTGTTGTTGTTGTTGTTTTGTTTGTTTTTTTTACTTTGTGTTTAGTACTAGTACATCGGTGTAATGAATGAAAACTAAAATGATGTTGAAGCTAAAGAGTTCCCGCCATTCCAACAAACACAGGCACAATTCAAATTCTYATAAAAGAGATTAAAGCAGTGTCAAAATTGGACTTATAACATCTTTGTCTTCTTCTCTCATAGAAGACGAATGGATGCAGCCTCAGCTAAAACCCACGACTGGCTCTCGGTAGGTGGTGTTGATAATAAAGATTCAAATGCAGCTTTACTTACTACCTCCGATAGATATTTTCCTGCACTGGGCGTGATGTTTTTTCCATTTCAGACCACGTGTCACTCTCTTGAGAATAAGATTCTTTGTTTGAGTTGTATCCATATTCATGTGTCTTCTCATACCCCAACCATTAAACAAAGAAATGATAATCTAGGGAATGTGACGTGGTCTGAAATGGAGAAAAAATTGCTTCCGGTTCCCTCGACGTACCTTGCTGTGACCTAGAATCATTCGTCTAACTGATGTTGATTCATATTTCTATTTGCATTTAGCCTTCATTTGGTCGTGAGCGCAGAAAAACACCCGTTGCAGAACCGAGAAAGTACAAAGACGTTTTCGATGAGCTTCTCTTTCAGGTAATTTAAGCGTGCACGAATTGAGCCTATGAGCCTAGAGAACTTGGTCTGCTGTTTTTTACTATGCAGCTTGCGTATRAACACTAATTTTTCCATCTTTGACATTGATTAAGCAACAGTTTTTCGTCAAGTGGCTATTCATTTCTATAGGCATGGTTTCCGCAGTCACTCAGCAACGTATGTCACGATGCGATCTTCTATTCCATTGCGCATTAGAGTTTCTAAAACGTTATTTCTGCTGCGCTTATGTTATTGTTGTAGATTATCGTTCTATTTTCCCGTCTCGATATGCTTCATGATCTTTACTTCACATTAAAAAATACCACCAAAAAATGTTTTTTTACATAAATGATAATAATGCAAGAAAAAATAYTCGTTAATCTTTCTTAAAAGGATGACTACTGAATTTTACGCTTACAGGAAGAAGACGARTTGATAACTGCCTCTTGCGTGCTGAGAACCTTTGAAGAAGAACCGTATGATTCACCAGAAGAAGAAGATGATAATGATGAAGAGGAAGAAGATTAAAAATTACTGACTATGTACATTACTGATGATGATAATCAAGAAGATTGAAAATAACTGATGATATTAGATCTATGAACCTTTGAAGGAAGAGGAACCGTAAGAATTACCAGGAGAAGAAAAAGAAGAAGAAGATGATGATGATGAAGATGATAAAGAAAATGATTGAAAGTGATTGACTACAGCAATTATCCTAGTAACTGCCTCATAATAGRATACCTTGCGCATAATAGAATACAGATGTCTCTATCAAATGTGTAAAGACGAATCATGACTAGAATTGTCATAACCATGCAAGAACATCTATTGGACTTAATGATGAGGATGATGATGATTGAAAATGATTGACTATACCTAGTAACTACGCCCATTATCCTAGTAACTGCCTCATATTAGGATATCTTGCGCATAAAAAATACAATGTCATACAGTGCCATATAATCAACAAACTCGATAGGGCTTCCAAATAAAGATATAGGTTTTTTAAAGTAGTTGTAGGTTTCCATTATTACATATTTCCAATTTTTCTAAGCACCATGTCATATACAATCTTTTGTAATTGTCGAAACTCTATTAGAGTAAAATTAAAGCTAAGATGCACTTAATGCATCATCATTTGCAATATCTGCCATATATTATTTCATATATAATTATTTTATGTTATAGCATATTCTCGTATTCCATTTATCGCCAATTAGTTATATTTATTATCACTATTAGTATTAGTGTGTATTAGTATTAGTATTAGTATTAGTATTAGTATTCTATTACCATTGTTTATTGTAATCAATGTTATTAGTTTATGTAGAGGATTACCATTTTAATGGTAAAGCAGATTATGTCGAAATAGCTAATTGTAATTACTGTATTACTAATAATCAATAATTTATTCACTCTAATAGTTTATATTTCCGCCAATTTTCTTTGTTTTGCTTTAGCAAATGTATTTGCAATTAGAAATTCAATTGCACAATAGCAGAAGAGCTATYAATTTATTACTATTGAATTATTGACATAATCCAATCATGAGGAATTACAATTTTATTATCAACTGATTATTTAGTATTCTATCACCGCGATACCATTGGTCAGCGGTCAAACATTGCCAAAAAAAGTCTACGTTCGTATAATAGTATCTTACAAAGCATGTATTTTCAGCACTTGATTATTTATTGATTATGTTTACGTGAGAAATGATGATGAATTCAATAAAAAATTACGATACAATTTTGTTGGCATTTCTTTAACTAAGTAAGAAATATRAATTTACAAAGTTTGAGTTTAATTCAACGTGGCAAAAAAGCAACAATACCTATTCAGAAAATTTTCTATAATTTTTTTCCTATAATTTTCGGTTACGTGTGATATTTCATAAACCTCCAAGGCATCGCTAAGCAAATTAAATCTCTGCCAGCTAAGGGAAGAAAAACATTCTCGATTTAAAATTTTAATGAATGGCTAGCTTCTGAAGTGGCATTGGATATGAAAACACAAGCGACAATACAGTTGCAAGAAACTTGATCAATGCAAGGTGTTCAGTTTGCAAGTCAATTGAAATTAATAAATTAACCAGTTATTTTGATATAGATAAGATTTTAATTGACAAGTGCATCGATTTCCTGGTTTTATTCCTGTTCTTTTAAGCATTTCTTAAGAGTATCCTTGAACTCCAATTTACATAAGTACACTCCAATGTGTTGGTTTTATCAGTTTCCTTTATTCATGGAAAATCGTCTTACATCAAAACAAAGCCAGTGCGAACAGATTCTGAAGAAGACTATGAAGCCTTGGTACAATAGTCGTTTGTACGGTAAATTCTTCCAATGCCAAGCCAGGCTATCATTCATGGGTCACCCAGTATCTTTTTTTTACCAAGGGGAGGACGGGAGTTACAAATAATACATAACCAAAACTAGGAGATTACTGATGGCGTAGATGCACTACTCTTTCCCTGGGAAGTTATACGACAAAACGTGGGCCATTACTCTCCTATACCAAACAGTGCAAACAAATTTTAGCATCGTCAAAACTTTAGATCCGATGACGAATACGAGTTTTTAACTTTTAAAGAAAGGTACTATCATTTTGTAGTCGTGGTCGTACACATAGATTGAAACTTTAGATTGTAAAAAATCGGGAATTTACTACGATTCAATGTTAACCACGCGCACAGGATCAATTTTAAACTCGTACTAGATCTAGTACTCGTCGTTGGATCTAAAAGGTCGACTCTCATGCGGCCACTACTTAGTAGCGATGACAGACAGACAGATTTATTTTTTTGGAGTTTTGCCTAATTGTACATCAACTTTAGTCCAAATATAACGAATAGGACGTTTGCATGATGGCTTCATTTGACTCCCACTACCAAGATGCTTTGCGAATTTTCTTTCTTATTTAAATTTGTATTCCCTCATGAGAATAGTAAGACAATTGGTGCTAATTAACTGAACAAAAGAAAGCGTGCAAGGGAGTCTGGTAGTAGAGGTCAATGACGCCATCGTGCAAACGTCCTATTACATCGATTATTAATACTAAATTTCAAATCTACTGATACATAGCTTTTTAATCCCCCCATCCCTCCACCCCTCCCTCCCTTCCTCCCTCCCTCCCTCCCTCCAAAATTCTCGTGGTGTCTTTCCTCCCGAACTGACAACTTTTTTCTAGCATATTATTTACTCCACTGTAACTTGGTATGAAATAGTATTATCACTCTGTTCTCGGCGATAAAAGAATTTTTAGTACCATTATCTTAAAAACCTTCTGAGTCTGTTGAATGTTCTTCATTCATGGCGTGATGAATGAATAAGATGTAAGACCCAAAGAAAGGCCTCACAACTGGACTACTTACATCAAGCATGTACGCTTTTATGGTTCAACAGTTATAATGATACGTAGTCTTGTGAGAATTAGACATGTTGAACATGCGCAGTGCTTAGACTTGTCATTCTTCTGAAATGAGTCAATGAGCATCTGACTCCTTGAATTGAGAGAATCTGCATACATATTAATAAGAAGTCAAAAGGGAAATTTGCTGTTCTTCGAATTTCTATTAATAGCGGCCTTGAAATCATATTCTATGATACAGCGAGGTTTTTGTCACCGAGAAAAAGAATTTTGACTCGAGGAGTTTTGATTCGAGTAAAAAAAGACCGAATTTTGCGACAGCAGAACCTCGTACCACATGACACGTGATTCCTCAGTGGAGTTTAAAAGGGCGTGGCTTTGATTCTCATGAATAAAGTCTTTCACTGTTCTTACTAATGCTGATCTGTGACAAATTAGTCTTTTTTGAATAGAATTATCAATTTCAAAAAATATATGATAAATTTCTGGATTTTTTTTCAATTCGTTCAAAGGAGCAACAGGAAAGCTAGCTTATGATTTTRAAACTCTGGGTTCCATGACAAAATCCGATAACATCTGAGCTGTAGCCTGTCTTTACGTTAAGAACATTTGAGTGACTTTTTCAATATTGTTTATTTTTTTCGAGTAGACAGAGAAAAAACATCTTACTCCCTGGAAACTTTGTCATGATATGACATATGACAATCATTGCGTTATGAACATTWAAAAAAAACTTTTTAAATATTGGATTTTTCTGTCTAAAATTGTCTATCTTAAATTTGTGATGATGGATCAATATTAAATTTGCCAAGATTTCGGGCCATTTTCATTATTTTTATAAAATTTTTAACATAGCTAGAAGCTAGGAGACTGGGCAATGTCACAGACTGGCGTGACTGAGCTATAAATATTTTCATTTGGGTCGGTGAACTGTCAACAACAACACTTTTAGTCTGTCTATCAGCAAGTAGAACGCGGGCGTCAAGTACGAAATAGTATCCGCAATGTCTAATCTAGCCGCAAAAAAGTTTGGCCCGCAGACGATGGAGCTGAAGAAGGAAAGCCCGGAGACGTCCTACCAAATTAAGGCCGAAGTTGCGAGGTAAAACCACTTATTCTAGCCATAGTAGATTAGCAAGTAGGTAAGGGTGTGACAGATTGTTGCTTTGAAGTTCTGTGACAAAGAAAAGTCCCAAAAGTTTGAAACATCTGCGAAACTCTAGGTGATCAAGGAGTAGCCATTACTACAAAACTAGGAGAGGCTCGCGTTTTAGGGGTCTTGTCTTTCATTATGGGGGRAAAAATTTCTTCATTTTCGCAAAGAAAAATCTATAAAATTCCAGACTCAGGTCACTGCTCGCTGCATTTGATTGTGTGGAAATACTGTTGTGTTATTTGTGGTTGAAACTCGTCTTTCCAAGTTTCTCTTGCCCATAATTCTCGCGTTCTGGGGATGGTTCAGCGTTGTTGACCTTTCTAGGTTATATTTACGAGTCTTATTAGGCGTCTAGAGCAAGAGTATGTTTTCCTGTTTCTCATATTTGCACAACTCTATACAGAGATCATTACTTGCAGTGAATGGACTTAAGGGCTAGATAAAGCGATCATCAAATATTCTTTACTTCTAACAGAACGTCTAAACAAACTCCAGGATGATTCTCGTCAATGTGAGCGACTTACGCTAGCGTAAAGCTCTCATCAGTCAACAGCAGTGCGTATAAAAACTATGCAATACATTTACATATCTTGCATACTGACTTCAAACAAAGAAACACACAAAAATCTCAAGATTTCTCGTTTTCAGTCAGCACGATTTGTTACTGATAAAACGTCGATTTTTCACTTTGTTCAATTTTAGAGATTTTTTTATTTTATGCAARCAAAGTTTAGTTTTCAGCAAACATATTATTTAATCACATTGTGTATCACGCCAATGACCTCATTCAAGCAAACCAAAATAACCCATGATAGAAAATCTTGTCTTTGTGTTATTTGGAAGAGATTTGATTGACTTCTATAATCTCAAGGTCTGCTTGCAAACCCGAAAGCAATAAATTGTCGGGTAAATTGTTAACTACTCTACCTTTGGATGCAACAAAAAATACACCAGAAGATTAGTGACCAATGATCTGCATTCTTTTGGAAATGAGATATCTTGGAGTAAATATGGCCGTCACATTTCACCTCATTAAGTGGGATATTCTTAATAAGGTAATAGTGGAAATGTTTGTGTATCGATACTAGTGACATTATTAAATGTAAAAGAACAGAAATGTTATCCCAGGCAGATACTCTAGAATTGCGTTACGTGTTCAAGAATTCATCTTTGAAAAGTTTGTATCGTCAACACAGAAAATGAAATGTCGAACAAAATACCCCATGRGGGGTCTTGTCAGTTGAGGGTCATTGAGCTCACTTGGAGTAATTCCTTGAGGGTATATGTAGATAAGATACAAAAAATGGCATAAATTAAACCAATACATTTTGATAGCGTGAGATCAATTAGAGGAAATAGAAGATTGATGATATTACCGGTAATTATTTATCTATTATRAGCACTGGTAACTGTAATTTGTTTATACAACGTTTCTGTTATTAAAATTCAATTAACTGACTTCGTTGATGAAGCGCAACAAAATTCAGTTATGTGATTCATGTAAGTTGTGAAGAATTCACCAGTTTCGCATTCGATGCTTACGGCTGTTCTTGAAGACCACAGACTCAATTACACAGGCTTAGCATCGTTTATGAGTCATTCACAGATACCATTAAAAGTCCGTGGGATTTCTAAACATTCTTTACATTACAGTTGACTTTTCTCAGTACAGTAAGCAAGGCCAAGCCTGTACAATGAAGTCATAAAACACAGCGGTATTTACCAAAGGAGAAAAAGGRCTCTTCTAATGACAGTAAACAGAGAGGGAAACGTGGCTTCCTGATTGACAGCTTAACTTTTTGTAAGACTTTTTTGTCTGTCCTTTTTATATGTTTGCGGGACAACACCCTCTTCATACCACAGGATGCCCAATCTTAGGATACTCTTGACCTTAGGAGCAGACAGCGAAAGAAAATATTTGGATATGGATTATCACAGTATCAATATGTACATCGAAACGTAAACAGTCAAGCTTATTCTTGTTCGTATTACAAAGTAATTACTGGTCGACAATCAAAATTAGAATATAATATTTTTTCAGTGGCGAGTGGTCAGTTATCGGCCAAAGCTGAAGGTAGATTATTCGTAGTTGAATAAGAGATACTGCAATGCACCTATTGGAAATTAACTAAGTATTATTTCCCTTCGGGTATTTGCATTAGGATCAACTAATCGAAATTTAGAATAGATTGTAGTAAAATAATGAGTTTATTGTAAAGATGGCAAAAAGACCAAAAGAAAAATGATGGCAATATTATTTATTAATAATGATATAAATCTAATAGTTAT